AATTTAAAAAATTCAAAAAATTACATTAATTGGATTATTAATTAGAATATAGGTACTACGGTTTCCAGCTTCTACTACAGCATTACGTTATATTATGTTTTTAATTATAAAAAGGTGGGTAAGTGGATGTCGATCTGCTGTACAGTAGGTTAGAAGTGGGTCACTGTATAATGGATGGTATTAAATTTGAATTCAATGATACAATATCATTGTATAAGAAAAACAATTCTGAGCGAAGACGGTATGTCAGTCTAGGTTTAAGACATTATTATATATATATATCTATGGTATTAAATTATACGGAATTTATGAATAAATTCCTTAAAATATGCACAGTCTTATCATGAGCATACTTCTTATTCCTTATACTATGGTAGATTGTATGGATAGGCCATAATATTTTAATTTTTCAGTTTCATATATCCCCGAATAATATTTTTAAATTGCAACAAAAACAAAGATCGTTAATATTGATTTTAATATGTAATTTCGTAAAAATTTGAATTTAAAATGTCTGTAAAAAATAACTGTGTTCATATAATTTTTAAATTTTTTGGTTACAGTGTGAACTATTTATGAGAACCTTTGTTTTAAATTTGCAATCCTTAGCTATAAAAACTGAAAATTTTATAATTTATTAATTACAATGATTGACAATTTTTGAGATTTTAATACATTTTGTCAAAATTCGATGTTTAAATGCTTATAAAAAAAAATTGTGCTTATGTATTTTTAATATTTTTCAATTGCTACTGTAACAATATATCAGGGGCCTTGTATTAAATTTTTACACTTTTTGGCCCAACAGATAAAACTTTATTGATATTTATAGAAAAAAAAACTAAAAAAATTGAAAACTGAAAATGTAAGTAAACAGCTCAAAAAGAGTCGAAATATTTTCAAAACTGTACAGTGTATAGGAAATGCTAATATGAACATTCAGTGAAATTTTCATGTATCTACCTATAGTTATTCGTTTTTGAATTACAACAAAATAAGGAAATCGCTACATGAGAAATCGAGTGAATATCCAATGTTGTAAAAATTTGAATTTCAAACGCTCATAAAAATTTAATTTGACTTTCCGGTAGAGATTTTTTTATTGTTAAAGGTAGACAATCTTATGAGTAATCTTGTATTAGGTTTTCAAAACTTAGATTTAAAAAGGAAAATTTTTACGAATTCTTAACTCAAAATAATTTGCTAATTTTCGTGATTTTTCCATATTTTGTCAATTTTTGAACTTTAAATGCTTATAAAAAAAAACTGTGACTAAGGATTTTTAATATTTTTCATCTGTATTTGAAACAATATAGCAGGAGCCTTGTATTAAAATTTCAAGTATTTTTACTCAACAAATAAATTTTTATTGATATTCATAAAAAAAAAAATTAATAAAATTGGAAACTGAAAATGTCCCTAAACAGTTCAAAATAAATCAAAATATTTTGGAAATGTTATCGTGTATAGTAAATGCAAATATAAACAACCACTGAAAATTTCATGTATCTATTGGTCATTTGTTTTAAAGTTACACCAAAAACCAAAATCGATTTTCTCGAAAACAGATTTTGCGTAAAAATTCCTGTTTTTCCTTAATTTTTCTTGTTTTTCCCGGCGCTTTTGAAAACTACTTGGAAATTTAAATTTTGACCAATGCACCGACAATATTCACTTTCCAATCGAACAAGATACTGAAGTTGAAAATCGAAGCATTATATCGACTACTTGTCGTGTACACAGACACAAAAAAAATAAAAAAATAAAAAAACACACATCATTGTAAAATCAATACATTCATCGTTTCACTCAGAATCTAAAATGCCTAAAAATAAAACGTAAATCCCAAAATAATATGAAATTATGAAAACAAACTTACGCTGAAACATCGACTCTTCCGGTGAAGCCTAGCTAGAGTGCATCAACAATGCAAACGTCCAGTACGTGACGCCACCGAAGAAACAGATTATCTTCTTCTCGTTCCGAACTGTGACTTGAAATTATCGAAATATTTTATGAAAATTACCTGAACATAACGAAATGTGCGAATTCATGTTAAAACTTACATAATAATATATACGGCTTAACGAAGTAACGAACTATCTGTCCATATTGATGGCTTATTATTTTTTTTTTGACTAAAATTATTAGAATTGTTAATCGTCGCAGGCGAATGTCGACAATTGGCGATTGCCATAGATGATATAAAATATATTATTTTTTAATATGATAAATCCATAGAACTTTTACACTCAGCACATAGACGGCACATAAATTTACAAAGTTAAAAGATTTTTTTTGTTTTTGTTCATTTGTTACCTACATTAAAACCTTTTAGATTCTAAGCTGAGTGATGAATGTATTTATTTTACAGTATCACAGTGAAGTGTTTTTTTTTGTAACTGATGACGCTTTTTATATCAGAAAAAAGTGCTTCAATCCTCAACTTAAATATATTTTCTGGTGGGAATATAAATCTATTTGGTATGTGGTCGAAACTAGAAAATGAACAATACCTTTCTTAATAATTGGGAAAACAAAAAAATAATTAATGAACTGGAATACGCAATACCAAAATCGATTTTTTTATTTTGTTTAAAAATTTAATTTCTAATAAACTTAATTAGGTATATAAATAAAAAATTTTTATTATTGATTATATTTAAGTACATTCTACCTAAATCTAAATTACCAATATTTTTAATCACACGCTATATTATGACAAATTAATATTTTATATACCTAATTTAATTGTACTTATACCTATGAAATGTAATATTCTGTAGTCTTGGTGTAGAATTTCTCGATCTACTGCATACCAAGAAACTCGGCATTGGTATGCTAAATATGCACTGATACTAACTATCAATAGTATTTGTCTCAACAATTTAGTTAATTATTAAATACAAACTAAGCGTGTTCACAATATTAAATAATTAAATAACAATTATTGCACTTATTACAAGTAGGTACCTTACAATAAAAAACAAATGTGAAATTGTGAAAATCAACTTATTTTGTATTTTTGGTTTGTAAGTAGGAGTAAGTTCAAAGTTGCAGTTATTGTATGGAAGTGTCACGAACTGTGATATAATTTTTTGATAAAATACAGTGTAATAGCATATCATATATTGACGTTTTACAATATTTTAAGCTATACAAAATGATAGTTCAGAAAAAAGAGTCTAAGTGCCGATTTCAATTTAGTTTTACAGGCATTATGGGGGCGCTCTATATTACTCTATGGTCTGCATGCGCGAAACGGGTTCCTCTTTCGTGGTACAGAGTATAGCTCACATATGAATTTAGGTATCAGGTCTTGAAAAGAGTATATGTTTTTCGTTTAATTATAGGGTTATTAGTATTTAAATATATATATTTATATATATAATATTAAATATACAGCATGTTACAGGAATATATTTGAAATAAATAAGGTACCACACTACAGAAGAAGTATACAACATATTAATATGCATTTACAAAAGTAAATAGATTTATTTTTCTATTTTTTCTTACCGTATTGATTTTATACTTAATGGTTTTATTCATTTATAAATTTATATTATACTTAGCAAATCAAACAGCATTCAGAAGTCAAAATGAAATAGTGAATAAGACACTGCCAAATGCCAATTATAGCTAAAATTAGTATAATATTACTAATAATCATCCATAAATTTAAAATAAATAAAATCATTAACAAAACCATTTTCTCTTGTAACATGTAAATATAGGTATACATTTTTGTGAGATATATATTATACGTAATAATATTGTAATTCAATTATTTAATATTATATTTTTGATTTTATTTTGAAAAATTTTCAAATTTTACCAATAAACAATGATTAAACAAAATTACATGTAATTTATTATTTTCATTTTAAATGGACATTGGAAAATAAAGTGCTTTTTTACAAAATAATTAATATAATAATAGATTATCAATCATTTCAAGTAAACATAAAAAATGTTTAATAAAAACCAATGAAAATGTACAAACAAAAATAAATAAACACTTACAAAACTTAACGATTTAACATTTCAATGTTACATCATAAAATATAGTTTATAAAATTTGTCATAATTATATATATAATATATAATTACGCAGAGTAAAAAATAAAATATTCGTGTCTTAACGGATGCACAAATTTAGTAGTTTTATATACTAATTTTAAATACAATGTATAATAGGTTTTCATAAAAAATTAATTGTTACTTCGGTATATAGTGTGCATGAATACATTCTTTTAAGTCTTATACGGTAAGATAAATTATTAAATCGAAATATAAATTATAACTTTATAATAATACGGTACTGTACATAACTTAAATCACAGTGCTTCAGAATGTTATTATAATCTACTTAATCATAGTAATAAGTATAGAATTTTTAATTTTGACATTTTGAAGGTATTAACATTATGTGTTATAGTAGTTTAACGACACTGGTATTTTGTGTGTGGATACGAACTTTGTACTTGTGAAATTCTTAACATAAGATTATTTGATCATTTCAATGAGCACTTTGAAAACATTACATTTATCATACGTATAATGTATATGTATATAAAAAAAAGAAATTAAAATTAATGTACTTTCAGTACTAGACAATGTAAAAAAATACTCAAGCTCGTATATGGACTTAAAATATAATAATAATAATGTATATCAATCAGGAACATTTTATTGTAAAAAAAAAAAAACAGCAATAGCATCCAAGCGCCCATCTTTGTTTTCAAGTTGACAGGTAACTTAAGTAGTTTTATACTTTATATTGTCAAGTGTATATATTATAATAATAAAAGTAAAAGTAATAATTAATAATAATAATAATAATAATAATAATAATAATAATATTTACAAAACGCATTGGCAGACAAATACTGCAACTCTGGAGAGGGATGGCAGGGCGGAGGGGTGGATACACCCTTACATATTATCATCAAATATTAATTCAAAAAGGTAGGGCCGAAAACATGAACTCGTGTACATCAGACGTAAGACTCCTCGTCTGCGTACGTCCTGGTGACGACGAATCGTTGCTGCTGTGCCTGACTGCACTCGCCCAGGTAATACGAGGTGATAGGCGCACGGCGGTTGGCCGGTGGCGGTGGCCGATAAGGCGGAGGCGGTGGCAAGGACCGGGACCTGGCCGCGGCCACGGCGGCCTTCTCCTCCTTGCGCTTCAACCGGCCACGGAGCCGGACAGTGCCGTCCGCATGAGCGACCGGCGGCTGGAGCGGCTGATGCTGCCTGAGCTTAAGCGAGTCGGTGGCCACCTCATTTCCGCGGCTGTTGCTCCGGGACACGTGTGGCGTACAGTCTTCGTCGGACAGCGTGCTCGAGTCCTCTTCGTTTTCACCGTCGCAACAGTTTTCCACCGTTGTAGTGGAGGAGGGATTTGTGGTGATGGTGGTGGCGGTGGTGGTGGTGGCGGCGGCGGTTGTGATGGTGTTGGCAGTGCCAGTAGTCGCCGCTGTCAACTGTTGCTGGTGGTGCTGTTGCTGTTGTTGGTGTTGCTGTTGATGGTGCTGCTGTTGCTGAATATATCGCCTACGGTCTACCACCTCGGCCGACCTCCTAACCACTGGCGCGGCCGTCTGCGACTCATCCTTGCGGTACGTCACAGGCTGCAGTACGGGTTTGATGGTCAGTTCCGTGTTGTAATTATTCGGATGCAACGACTCGACAACCACTTCCGACTTGACCACTACATCGTAGTAGTCGGCAGCGGTCATTTTCCGGTATTGGTCCTGTTGCGGGGCCAGGGATATCCGGTTGTTGTTGTTGTTGCCGGACATTTGAACGGGCTTGCTGCGACGGGGTGGTGTGGGTGGTGGCACGCTACCATCCAATACGGACTCTTCGGAAGCGCTCCGACGGACCGCCTCCTTGCTGGCCGCGGCTGTTAAACGCTTGGATCGCTGCCGGAACCAAGCCTGCCGCTGGAAGTTGGCGTTTTTCCGCTCCTCCCAACCCGGGTATACGCGCACGTACTCGCCCGGCATCGACGGTACGGCAGTGGCAGACACGACGGTTTTCGCCGAGTGCGCCTGGTCAAATGCCGGGTCATATCCGCTGGAGCTGGTTGACCCACTCTCCTCCTCGTCAGGCGTGTACAGCTGTGAGTCAGACATCGTCAGTCCAGAGTCCCGGCTTAATGATATCTGATCCTTCCTGGGGGGTGGGCTCACTTCCAGGCTGTCTATAGAACTGTCGTCCCGCCTCATGGCTGTAAATCAGACACAATACAATTATATTATATAAAATAAAAAGTTTCCTACTGCTTTGTAACACTGTATCTATACCCAGAACAGTATTCGAGATGGATGTAACTTCTAACCATATTTCGAATTTTATTTCAATGATGTATTATATGTCATATTTAATGTCAGCATTTCAGTAATACTAACATTTTTACAAAACCTGATAGATACAGGGCTCTAAGTATTTTGTTATACATTTATAACATATACACCTTTAATTATTTTAAATAATGCCGACCTATAATAAGATATTGGGATTTATTAAATTTATCTTTTATTATTATTTTAAATTTTAACTCCTTTACTAAGATACATTATATTTTAAATCATGTTTACTGGTATTACTGGTAATTAGTATGTAACAGCTGGTAAACGATCGTAACGGTATATACTTAAGTTATTTTTTATTTATGTAAATTAATTTAGTAATGAAACAAAATTATTAAAAATAACTTTTGGCGTTTGTTTCATTATATTCGTCGGCTTTTGGAAACTCAATGAAAGAGAAAACATGATATAGATATTAAATTAAAATTATAAGTAGGTATAATAGGAGTATATGAGAAGCCAGCATAAATTATTTAAATAAAGAAATGGGTCGAACACACGCCCCTGAACTGCCTCCCGTGATCGATAGTTAACAGTTATTGGCATATTTGCAGCACACTTACAGTCGGATTCTTCGGTGCCAGAATCCCGTGGGTCGCCCAAAAGGTTCGGCACGTGTGGCCCACACAGAAGCTCGCAGTGGGTGATGAGTATTTCGACCAGTGCGGGCACGGTGCGCAAGTCTTCGGTCGGACACATGGCCGGCGAATCGGACCACAGCAGCGACGGTCCAACACACACGCCCAGGTTGGCGGCCGACATGAGGTTGTGCGTGGATCGCCGAGATATGTGGTAGAGTACGCACAGGAAGTGGCACAGCAGATGATAGTTGGGTTTGGGCAACTGATCGATAATCCTGTAGGGGAGAAAAAAAATCATTATAAATCATTCCACCCTTTTGGTTACAAGACGACGGCAGGCCATGTAGTTTCATTACATCAATATACAACACACTCACGTTTTGATTCTAAAAAGTTTTGTGGGTAGGTTGGAACAGTCCAGAGCTGATCGCCATTTCGGAAACAGGCTGGTGCACAGTAAAGGGTCGGGCAACGAGCGCAGCATGTCTTTGAACAAGGCCGCGGTGACCAGCACAGGAACGTTCTCCAGACAAACGTCCTCACAAATATCCATTTTCTCGCGGAGTTCGCGGACTAAACGGGCGTTTGCAGACTTTCTAAATATACCCTGGGTAAACGGTCCTTTGGAGAAAATTTGGTGTAACATGCCCTGTAAAACATTTAAAAAAAAATTTAATTCAATTGTATCGATCAGCTATAATAACGTTGCATGATAATTATTTAGTACAGGTACTTTACGAGGTATTATTGAATTTAACAAAAAAAACTATTATAACACACAATTATATAATTTTAAATTGAAAAAATTATATCATATTAATAATTATATTGAACCACTCATTTATTGGCATAATATTGTATTAAAATATATTATAGCTATAACAACCGGTTTAAATTCTGTTTATTAGATTTGAACAATTGGTAAAAATAGTTTTATTGTTTATCGTTATTTAATGTTGTTATAATGAATCAAATGAAAAAAAAACAATTAAGGATCGATAGTTAAAATATTTAGTTAGTTAGGTACCTTATTATACTCTAAACTCAAAAGTAATCTTTGAATGCATATTTTTGAAAACTTATACTTAAATTATGAAAATTTAAACTTCCTAAATTTATATAATATTTGATGTAAAGTTTCCAGCAACTAAATATGATTTTTACGTATGAAATATTATTCTATGTTAAGAGAAAATAAAACACATTTTATAAGTACAAAGTACCGTAATCTCGCAGACTCACAATTACATTTGTATTATAAATGTTTTGTCAACAATCCAATTAAGTACACTTATGTTGCACTCAATTCGAACTTCTAACAAATATTTAAAACACACACTACTATCGGTTTGTAAATATCAATTATATACTAACCATCACTGGCTTAGGAAGGTTTTCTCCGTCGCAAATTCTATTCAGTGGTACACCGAACAAATTGCCTCCATTCTCTTTGGTAGGAGTTTTCTTAAACACCTGGCCAATTTTCATACGACTAGAAGACTTTTTTGGCGTCTTTTTATTCGTCTCGTTTTCTTGAGCTTTTACACTCCTGAAAAATACCAGACATAACAATTTACAAAACAATTTTTATACCGTGACATATATTATTTTTTAGTTCAGTTTGACGGAAGACAAAACATGACTATGGTAGCTAATAATTTGGTAGTGCGTTAAGTTTTTATTTAGATATTAGTTATAGACATTAACCTCGTCAATAAACGTTAGTAAACAAATGTCATATTAATATCTTATCAATATTGATTTTTATTAAATACTGAATACATGGTCATTAGAAGAAAAAAGCAAATATTTTCACCTGCGTTGGGTACAGATCGTTAACATTGTTCTATCATCAAATACGGAGAAAAATATTGTCACTTAAACCGAGATTAAAATGAAATAATAAAAAATAAATAAATAAAAACAGTAGGTACCACAAAAAAAAAAACTAATGTTGTACGACAAAATAAATAACAATACACTTGCGTTATAATTTTGAATAAATAACTATAACACATTTCACACACGTGTGTATGATGCACTCTGCACGCGCACATAATATAAGAGCGAACTTTGTTCGACGACTCAACCATTATGCTGTATTGCTATCACGGCCGGTAAAATTATTAGATGATAATATGTGATAAGTGTGTGTAGCCAGTGGATATTTGTTTATTTTTAAAATCGAGGGATTTCTCATGTTACGTAATCTATAGTTACTATAATAAAATAATATAGGCGTATAGGTAAAAATAATATATAGATAATGGTACGGATATCAGATGGATAGTTTTATGGACAGTCGGGCAGATGTACCAGGTAGTGCAGTAATACAATGCTAAATAATAAAACTAATATAATGTAATATTCGGTCAGCTATGTGAGTTATGTACATATTTCCGACTTTTACCTCAAAATGAAGTGACACCTGGCCAACGGGTCGTGCACGTTGTTGCAGTGATCCAAGTCAAACCCTTCCTCGGCGCTAAGTCCATCCCGTAGGCAACTCAACTTGACGGAATACGGTTTCTCGTGACCAAACAGTGGATACGGCGGCTCTTCGCGTGGTGTCTTGGCCCACAGCTGATACTGGCTCGGGTCCGCATCTCTCATCTCCAAGTGATCCAATGCAATTTTTACGCAGTCTTTGGCGCTCTCGTCTGGTCCGATGGCAAACGTCTTGCACTATAAACACACACAGACATATAATAAATATATTTAAGATACCAAGTAGTTCCTACCGCTCCGGTCAAAGGGGGTAGGGGATATCCCCCATGACCTTTTTTTTTTAATGTTTATAATAATATTATATGACGTGATTGTTGTTTTTATAAAGAAAATATTTTTTTAAATATGACAAGAATGAATATTTGTTTTAAGTTTTTGATTACAACATTTTTTTTTATGTTTGTTAAGACAATTAACTCTCGAGAAGCAGTGAATACAAATACTGTAACGGTAAGTACTTATAAAATTGGCTTTAGGCTAAAATAAAATATTTGCAAAGATAAAATAATTATAAAATTAACAGTTCAAACATTAAAACGTATAACATTTATATTATAAAGTTTAACTGCTTAGGTTACTTCTCATTTCTTTAATAGTTAAATGATTAATATTTTTAAAATGTTAATTTATAACTTTAAAATGTATAAATTGTGTAAGTAGTTATTATTTTATTTCAGAGTCGTATCTATAGCTTGGCTCTAATGGCTGTTATTATCTTGGGGTTGTAAAAATAACCCCAAGTAAAGTATTTCATAAACTGACAAAAAAAAAATGATCTACTTATTTAGGTAGTTGTTAACTTTTTAGCTTATGTTTTTAATCAATAGATAAAAAAAATCTATCTATAATCTTCAAATTATGTTTTTAATGATTAAAGCGAATGTTAAGAAATCAACCTCCATCCCTCTCCATGACAAAATCATTTGAACGTGGTTACATCCGTTTGGACAGTGTAGCAAGCTGTGAACTACACCGTTCTCTATCCTCAATAATATGATATAAAGGTTACAAATAATGTTGATAACACGTTATCTACATGTTTAATATATTAACTCTATATACGACATGGTATAATGTGAACCCCGGTTTACCGTATCAAGGACGAAATCTCGGGTGTATAATATTATTTTATGTGTGTATAAATATATTATATTATGTTATAGGACATAGGTAGCAGATACTCACGTATTCTATGCCAGTGTTGAGATCTTGGTAAAACACTTGGACGTTGGTAGTCGGGGGGTCCTTGCGAATTTCTTCTTGCGATTCTTCTGCCAATTTCGACCACCACAAGTCCCTGGTGGCTTGAGTGCTAATTCAGATACATAGAACAATACAAGATTAGTATCATCGTTACATTACTAGATGCGACGAGAATACACATGACGTATATATTATTGACTATTGTCTACAATAACACGTGTAAGCGGTATTTATTATATTAGTGTACTAGACAACGATCCAAGATTTATAATATATATTATATATATATTCTGTACTTATGAGCTATAAAGTTTCATAGACCTATTCCATTGATGGGAGGTACTCGTACTATATAATAAAGCATATAATCCGACAAATATTTATTATTTTTATCCTAACTTGATAAGCCACACCGACGTGAGTTCCGGGAATTTCATAGGCGCCTGGCGCTTAAGATATACGTCTTCATTGCTAATAAATAATAATATATATTACTTAAAAACCACATATTACACTATACATATCTAACGGGCGTTATTCCAGGTAGATAAAAGCATAAAAATGCATGAAGATTAAACACTTTATGAGCGCAGACAACAAATAATTTAATTTTCCAAATTCCGAAATTTGTTTAAGGCAAACTTTTTTTTTTTGTTTAAAATCATTTAAAATGTTCACATAAATTAATAATTTATGTAAAATCGGCATGCTTTAAAAATAACTTTATTAATTACCTAAAGAATAAATAAATTATTATAGTATCAAATTATATCAACTGCCAATTAAATTCAATACGAATGAATGCGTGTGCATATTTTTATCAAATTATTCCACTTTTTTTAAAAAAGCAATTATACATTCTTTCGACATAAATCATAACGCTTATTATTATATTTCTAATAGGTAGGTCATTTATTTGTATAAATAAAAAATTTTAAAACATTAATTGTAATAGGTGACCTACTATAATATTATATAAAATGACAACATGTACCTAGTAATATATAATATATACATGATTTGTTTAAAATATTATAATTATTGGTAATTTGATGAACAAAAATGTACTTACGAATTATTTTCTTCACAACTATTTTTGTATTTAAAACTACCATTACTATTCCATCCACTTTCCACACCAGGTAGTAAAAGTTTAAAACGAAGGTTTTCATCGTATTTTAAATTAAAAGTAAATAAAGCAAAAAACTTTTTTATGTACCTAATCATAATTTTTATCTTGTCTCTATATAATACATTAGTTTGATGATGTGATTTAATTATCATATTTTTTCGTAAAATTGTAATCTCACATTGAAACACGTTAAACTTCTTTGAACGTATTCTGAACACTGAGCGTTTTAACTAGATACCTACCAGTATAATACCTATATTGTCTGAGCAAACAATATATTATGAATAATATATGAAACGAAGCATAGATAACGATATATGAGGAGGGGCTATCATATAATTGAGTTTTTGATAATTTATAAAAACAACATTTTAATAAAAAATAATATGCATATATATATATATATATATACGTTGTTAAATTTTACTAATTACTATGTAGGTACATACTACAGTAATAAGTGTTCTAATTATATTAATAGAAACACGTTAAAATGAATATATAATAAAGAATCGAATAATTGATTGTTTAACTGCAGATTAAGATTTAGTAATGGTCAATGGAGTATTTTATTATATTATAATATATACATATAGTATACTCGGATTATTTATGAAGAATGTGAAACGTCGAGATCATTTATATATTGACCTCTGCTTTAATACTTATAATAATATGCTGTATGCGTATAAAAAAAATAGATTTTTTCGAATTATTATTTGTTATAAATTATAAGTTATTGGTAAGCTATAACGAAATACGAATTTAACATTAAAGTATTATATACGTACTACATGGTCGCCTAATTTTATTTTGCCAAATATCATTGACAACCAGTCTAGCGTGTGTGTAAGTACCTGCCATTATTAATATTCCTGCGCAGACGTAGATCGACGTCGATAAGCTCGGGCGAGTTATAGTGACAAATGACCGCTTTTTAACTCGTTCGAGCAAACGGTCATTTTAGTTCCGTATTGAAGACAACACGAATACACGATATTGATTTCCCACGATCGGAGAAAATTATTATTATATTTTTAATATATGATACAACGCGAGATAAGAGTTACGCCTATAATATACACTGTCGGCTTATCAATGCGTCGTCGACCCGAGTATGAAAACAATTAATATTACTTATACATATTATACATGTAATATTATACAGAAATAGTAAATATATGTGTATACGCGGTTGCAAAGTGTCAAACGTAAATAATATTATGGTACAACATGTCGTAGAATACCTACGCTATGCAAGTTTCCAAACACAATAATTACAACGATTATTTTTATTCGTTTCCTGTTATTCTTTTTTTTTGAACAATTAAAAAAAACATGTATGAGTGATGTACACCTCAAAAGCTCGATCTATACTCTTGTTCCCTGTGAAAATTTCACATGATTATATATCATTATTATTATATATTGCGACCAATTGTCAAGGACGTGACCTTAGTATAGTTAAACACGCAAGAAATTCAAACGACACGGGCGATAATTTTATATTATGTGTTAATTTTGTTGTTGTTGATTCGACAGAGTTTACGATGTTTGAAAAGAATTTTTTAAGAATAATTTAAGATTTTTATTTTGTAATCAGATTCTAATTACGACTTAATTTTTTACAATTTAATTGGTAACAACACGAGACTGTGCTAACTGCTAACTCCTAATGATTGCTCTGATATAATTTTTTTTTATTGAACCGATAGAGGAAATGTGGAATAATATAGTAAAAGAGGTGTAAGGAATATGGATGTTTCTACCCCGACCCTGTACACAGTTAACCAATGACAAAAGTGTAGTAACTGAGGTCTGAGATACTATCAAAAATTTGGGCGAAGAATTTATTGTAATTTTTCACCACCGTGTAATAACTAGATAACCTTCCGGTACAACGACTAGTATTCTGGAAACGCATGGCGATTTAGACAAATAATCACCCTTAATCAATGAAAACAGACGTGTGTTTGTTACGAATATCAGTGTATAAAAACATAATGTAGGTAATTGTATATATGTTAAATATATAGGTACATACATTTTTGTTTGCAGATTTTTGATGGGGGACAACTTATTATATATTACATTATATTTTTTCTAACGAAATTTAAACTCATAGTATATGAAATGTATGTACCGTAACATTATTGAATTTACTATCGCATTAAGTATAATTTACATGTATAGGTACTATACTATATACTATATGGATGTATATAGTGTATAGGAGGTAGGTATATAGGCACCTACTTGATATTTTATTATGACGTCACCCGTGACCTATACACAATTTAATAATAAAAATTATTGTTCATCGTATAATGATCATATAGCTATAAGCATACAATAATAATATTATACCCGTGGGTATAACAATAGGCCGTTTTTTTGTCTAATTAAGAGCTGCGTTTATGTCGGCAACCTATACGTGTGTATACTCTTTACTATATTATGTATGTGTACCGTTAGCGAACCTCCTTTTCCGATATACAATACCGTTTGTCCCAGTGAGTTCTGGTGATGAGCATATTATTATTATTATTATGACTATTATATGTCGATGCGCTTATAGAAGAGAACAGATTACATATATTTTGGACCGTTGTCGTACAATGTGGTCGGTTCAAAGACCCTCTTGCGCTAATGATAAAGACCCGAGTACGTCCCCCGCTGAGGGACCACATCCCAAGTAAACACAACAGTAAAAAAAATCGTGGACACGCGACGAAGAGACCAGCTATAATATGATGCATTCGAAAATAGGTACTAACCTGAACACTGCCACATAGTTTGTGGTCGGCCATCCGATGACGAAAGACGTGTCCGAAGACTTGGGAATTTCGGCAACTTCGTCTATCACCGCCGGCGATTCGTTGAGCCAAATCTCCGATATCCTGACCTTGTCCTTTAGTTTAAAGTTACTTCCGGATTTCGCTTTGGCCACCAGCAAGAGGTCGTTGAATAAAAATAAATGACGTTCCTGACAGTGCACACCCTATACAATAATATAACACTATATTTTAGTATTGCATTTGTGTGTGTTATAGACTATAGAGTATAGACTATATTATTATATAAATATACAACTGTAATAATATAATACATGTATTTGATATCATAATAAAAATGTTATTATTTACATTAACGAATTGGACGGGAGTTTCCATTATGAACTTCCTCGGGCTATCGTTTTGGATTTTGTTGGGAGTCGAAGGAGGCGACTCCGATCGCAGCGATTTCGAAGATAGAGCTCTCCTTAGAGCAGCTGTACCAGTTGAGCCTCTCTTCCGAATTAATCCTTTCATCTTCTAAACAATAAGAAAAAATCATTATAATTATCTAAGTAAATTAAAAAAAACTTCCAAATAAATATGAGTTGTAATATTATAAAGTAAAAACCCGTACATATATAACACGATGACAGTAGGTAGTTAAAACGTTTTATCAGATACAAACATTACCTACAGTTATAAAATTGATAACGTCATTAGTTTAAATATTTAACAGCAAATAGAAAGTTGTTGACGAAAGTGTTATATTGTTCTATAATAAGTGCATATAAATATATAATATCTTATTTCGATAATTTGTATTGCAAAATTGTTAAACTTACCATTGTGAGGGCTTCTTTGTCGTATAATCTGAGGAAATCGTTTGGGAAAACATCTTGAATTCGCTCCAAATCGCTTTGCTCGTGAACACGTTTTACTGTCTGTAAAAAAAAATATAAATTTATTGATAAATAGCGACAATATTTGCATTTTTATATTTATTGAAAACAGCATATTTGATTCAGTGTATAAACAATGACATTAGTTTTTTTCAATCCCAATTGAATTAGAAGTGAAATTAACAAATTGTACGCAGTTCAATCGCGATATAGTTACGTTAAATAGAGCAGTATAACACTATACACCTATACTATACATCATATTTATTGCCAGGAGCAAACTTTCATAATATGTAGATACATAAACGATGTTAAAGCGATTCAAAAGTGTAAATAATACAATTAATAGACTAATAATATTATATAGTACGGGTGCCCGCTTGACGATTTTTTAAGTTAGCTAAAAGCCAACGGGCATAATATATCTATTGTCGAAAAGTACGTCAGCTACAATGGCCTGGTGTTGATAACAATTTTCCATTCACGCCGCGTACGCGTCACACTTTAGAGAAACATATATTTATATTTTATATTATTATTGTGCATAATATTTTGTAATATTTTCGTTTTAAGTTGACATAGAAATTGGAGAGCGTCGCGACAACCTGACAACTGGTTTTATCGCTGTAATACACGCACTTGATATTATACATTTTTTTATACATGCAATTCATTGTATGCAAATAATAGTAAGTAAAAAATAACAGCACGCGAGATATTAATACCGTTTGTCATAGATATTTCGCGTAAGGAGATAAATATTATAAACGAAGATTAAAATAACATGTGCGCATGTTATATTATATGTGTAATATAATTTATATACATACACATACATATATAACTTATGATTTGTATATTATATTATATACACTCAAGTAATATAATATTGGAAATAGTACACGCGGTGTTGCGGTGTTTTCTTGGCGATTTCGTAGTGTCAATAAATATAAATCGGACGGGACGCGGAATAAAAGATTACAATTAAATACATAATATTAATATTTCGTATATACTATGAGGCGCGAACGATAGCTTTTATGCCGACGACAAATATAGCTGTCACCGCAAGTTAAACGGTCCTTATAACTTCTAACAGCGTAATAAATTAGACGGCATTTATGTAGATATATATAATATATACGCGTATATAGTGAACAATATTATCATAATATAACAAACGTATAATATAATATACCCGCTTGGTATGCCATCTCAGTACAAGTGCAGTCGGCAAACGCCAAAACAGGATTGCAAATCGTTTCGAAAAAAGTGTTTAAAAGAGTAATTTTCTAAAAATCGCTAATTTATTAAAATTATGTTTATATTCGCGCTGCAGTCTAATCTCAACGCCTCTTCGCAGATATGAATTGCAAAGTGGTGAAACACTCGCGGGGGCACAAGACCAATATGGTCATTCTACCATTTCACTGGACCGGTACGCGCACCGGTGTGTCTCTCCTTGGCACATTTAGCCCCCGTACAAATCCGTTACATAGGTAGGTCGTAGGTACTACACGCGTATATTATATATTAATATATTATTAGTGTGTGTGTGTGTGTGTGTGTGTGCATAAGTGTATTATATATGCAGCCGGTCTAGTGCGATTTATCGTATCGGTTTTGGGTGTGGTTTTGGCCGCGGCGATCGGTGTCATTCACACCTATATAAAATCGTATACAACTACGATCGTTTGGCGAACGAGCGGCGTTTTAATGATAATTAATTATATTATATTGTTTAAATTGGAGCGATGGCGAAACCGTAGGAATACATACACGTACATGCACACACACACACACAATATAATATATATGTATGCACGTGAGTATACTTATATAGGTATCGTGTAGGTACTATTATACTACAGCGAACACCACCGCTATTCATCAATGGAGATTTTAAAAATAAACGATATATTATATTTTATACGCGGTGCACTGCAGATCCGTTTGGAACACTCAGACAGCTCCCATTGTGGTGGATATCGAAAAAATGAAATAGGTACAAGTGGGTCGTTTTTATCAAAGAAACTCGAGCGTATATTATTATATATCGGTTCAAAGGTCCACACAATGAGCGGCAATTATGTACACGATCGAAAAAGATATATATATATATATACCTATATATTTTTTTTATTATTATTTATAATATACAGTAGGCGAGAGAAAAAGTGATATGCTTCTTTGTGCCATGCTGAACGGACTGAAGAAAGTGGGTCTCCCCCGTACGTATGAGTATACGGATTATAATATGTGCGGTGTGGACAATAACCGATGCAGTTTGTTTATCAGCGAGGCCCGAGTCATTGGCGGCAGCGGTTGTACGACATTCGACGAAAACGTAGTCGGTATTACGCCTACGGACGAGGGCGATTGAATGAAAAGAATGAGAGGAAAAAAAAATACTCGAAATAATAATAATAAAAACTCACTTGTTTGGCGGCGCTGTTCGCCATGCACAGATCGTGGTACTCGGCGCCTCTTCCATGTTCCGGTCTGGTCTCGTCCAATAAACTTTGGAAATACGTTTCGTATTGAGTCAGTCTCTGTACCTGCATCGAACAAAAACGTAAATGTATTAAGTGACTGTGACCTTAGTGCCATGGTGTATATTAATATATAATATGTAGGTACATAATACGTATAATGTAGGTGATCATAGACAACCCAACTCCCTATATGATACATCATAATATATCGACCGTGAACTATAATACGAGCGTATAGTATTATTATTACTACGCGTCATCGAGACCTGTATCGGCTATATTATCGTCCCCATTGATGGTGGAAATTGGAAATGATATAATAAGGAGACGTGTGAAACGGCAAAAGAAAACGGTGAAACACGTGGGGAGGAACATTATAATAAACTGCACAGGCATTTGCATATTGCAAAACAAGAACTAGGTATCGTAATTACTTCTGAAGGTTAAATCGTCCGCGTTATTTATCATTATAATGCTATTATTTTTTTTTTTTTTCGTTGATAAATCACACAATTCACAATTTATTCTCTGTGCCGTTGTTATAATAGGCCCTCTGTAGTTGCAGCCACATTATACTATTATAGTATGTACAGTGTCTGTAGTGCGCGCGCCATTCTCACATATACGCGTAATAACTAATAAATCTACCGTACTGGGCACCCTATAAACTAGTAGGTATAATTCACAAACGGACGCGAGTAATTTTAACACAATGTGATAAAATTCATACGATTAGACGGATGGTGTTTGTCTACTTTGAATGTCTGTGGCAAGCTCGATATAATATTAAACCGCAGTTAATATTATACTGGCAGTTAGAGGCTATAGCGTATATAGTACCTATACGCCTTACTGGCAGGTTAACGACTGTCGTCGTATTATTGAAGAAGAACCGTATTCAGTTATATGTACTTACATCGTAATCGGTACTTCGGTAGTAGGTACAATATAAGTAGATACATCATACATGCGATGTAAATAATAAGATTACAAACGCGCCTATGAAAGTATATGGCGTATGACGACGTATAATATGTACGAGTACAACTACAAATGTTGACAATGTACTCGTATTATGAAAATAGATGTTAACATTATCCTAATTATTTTAAGTCTTAAACGATGACATGATTTTATAGGGCTCGGCAGATGGTTATGTGATGTACCGAAAAAAAATTTGGATAAGTACACAAACATTTAATCATGTACTGAATTTAAAACCGATATAATTTTCACAATGTAATAATGAATACATTATAACTTATAAGTATAAAGAGTTACAGGTTTTTCCTTATGAACTGCTACGGAGTTGTAGGTGGGAACTGCATTACCATTATACTTCCCCGCCCCATAATTTATTGCACGCGGTTATACTCATTTGGGCTTTTTTTTTCTTTGTAAACGTGCGAGTTTCATGAATAATTCGAATATAATATTATATCAAAAACACAATTTCGCAGTTACAGAAAATAAACATTTATCTGATTTTAAACGGTTAGTTGCGAGTTAGTGCATATTACAGGCACTTTATATTATAATATACCCCGCCGGGGACTCATCGTTTATGTGCGATATTATCGCGCATAATATGTACATACATATTATATACCCGAAAAACCTGGAGAATTCTCGCACGAGCGTTCTCGGAAATCTGCGAGGTACCTAACCTGACTCTGTGCACGAAAACTACACAAATGGACACTATATGTACATATATTTTAAACACATATATAGTAACACGATACATCCGACAAGCTTCCTGCTGGGACACGGCGGGCGCGTCGAGAAACGTGACACTCGAATGGTCCCTAGGTTTTTGTGTAGGTACATCCTGTCGAAAGATTTTCATTTAACCTCCTGGCCCGGCATTCGCGTATCGCCATCGTTCGACACACTGCTTACATTATTATTACTAACCTAACATACTAGAAACACTTACGGCCTTATAACTGTCATTTCATTATACATGTATCAATATACATAGTTTTATAATATAGATTCCATTTTATTGTTTTTTTACGAATTGCAACTACAGTGAGGGTTGTTATTCTGTATACCTAGTCTGAACTCCGACTAACTTTATATCTTCCCGTATTAACAATGTATAGCATAAAATATTATATATATATCATTGCCCTTGAACCGTACCTGTATGATGAACATACACCTTTTTTTAAAACATATTTTCGTAATCGACACCGTAAAATATCTAGTAATTTTTCAAGGTGATCCTCCTCGGCTCTCATCCTAGCAAACATCGGGAAAAACTACTTGTAATTATCGCAATTAACGGATTTCAGAGGAAAATACAGCGATCGAGTTAGAAAAAAGTTATCACTTTTGTTATTTTAGTACATCCTCTTTCATCGTCCCGACAACTATTAAATAAAAACCCGTATACCCATTTTAAATACCGTTTTGTTTATAGACTGTTACTATAGACTTGATTTTGTTACACCAATCTATATATTTATGTACTTAAATCGTTTTATAAAATATGCTAACAGTGCATTAAGATACATCGCGAAGTGGACGCCCACAAACAATGCAATTTGGTGATATATATCTATAATAACCTTCAAATTATTATTATTATGATTATAATCGACATGAATAATATGGATATATGTAATGACAATGTTTTAATCGTGAAGTTTAATACCTTTCAGTGTATACAATTTTCCCAAGAATTATATTCATGCTAAGTAGATATAATCACAGTAATTTATATTATGAAATTCATATGGACTAAGGAATATACTTAAAGCTGTAATACTTTGTTGTGTGTAGTACTGTATAGAGATACTGTAAACAATACACCTAGTTATAGAGGTTATAAGTTATAATTTTTAATTGAACAAAAAGTAGATATATACCTACATATAATTTTGTCACAAAAATTTAATATTTTTGTATATGAGTTGTTTACGGTTGCTTATAAAATTAATTATTGATAAATCTATGCATTTATCAAATTTGTTCACACGATTAAATAAAAATTAATGTGTCGATTTAATTGTAATTAGTAGGTACTAGGTACTCGGATAAATAAGTTACATTTTAATATTTACACATAAATAGTTTAATAATACCTACTTAAAGTGAAATATAATTTAACATTTTACTTTTATGTTTTATTAAGGCCATATAATATGTACACTGTGCAGTGTGAATTGTGATGCACGTACCAATATGGGCTATATAATGTAATAAAATGATTAAGTACATAGGTACTTAAAATAAACATTTAAACAACTCATTTAAATAAAACAATTTAAATTCTTTACCTACACGCCCATAAATTAAATATTATTTTGAGGGTTATCCTAGTTTTATCAGTTATGAAAAAACCAATATAAGGTAGATATAGATAGGTATTATTATTTATTATTCAATAATTTAAATATACTGCGATGTTGGTGCCTGACTGCCGCATACGGTATCATATTATTGATTTGTATTCGTACCCACATAATATATCAAAATATGTACACGTGTTATCTGATTATTTAATAGCACGTTAGAAAAAAAGTTGTTAGCTACTCTAAATTATCGATCGAAAGGCGAGTTGCAGACTGCAGTAGATAATAATTACAGCTAAAGGGGATGGAGGTCGGGTAGGCGTGCCGAGGGATGCACACCTGCAGATAAAACGAAAACCAAAGACGTTTAAAGAAAACCTACATCAGTTAAGGCTATGATTAAAAGCGTTGATCCCCCGCCCCGAGTAACAAAAATAATGTAGCCATTATTCCATTTTGTATTATTAGTCATTGTTAACGATTTAATTCGAAAATGACTTTTCGGGGTGGGCCGTGGCCTAGATGTCACAGTATGCGCCACTGCAGTCTGCAGCTATATATAATATAGTATATAGTATATATTATTATATAGTTAATAGCGCGTGTCACGTGTATCGAGTGATAATATCCTGCTCGGCGATGAAGTATAGAAGACTTTATACGTATATGATCGTTGCATCGGATATTATCGCGTCGTCCCGGCTGTGTAATTAACCACGGAGGCGTTTCCTTATGGACAGCATAATATGATATATAAACCGGTAGACCGGAACCCAATATATCGTCGGAGAAAAAACAAAAGAATCGTTGATTATGGGGGAGACGACAAAATATTATAATAAGCTCTCCTCCACCGTCGAGCATCACCACTGCACTGATCGGAGATCATCAAAAACGATTTCGTTTCTGGAAGTAATTTTATATAACTATATAACGCCGCCCGCCACCGCCACCGCCTTGGACGACTGGGGGATGACGTTGAAAGGTCGCATATTTGCATACTGTAAATACACATACGATATGCAGAAGTATATAACGGTTTTCAGTATTATATATCCATGCCTATATATATTATAATATTATATATACGCACGTACCAGCCGCGAAACACCTGTGGGTCGCGAACCAGTTTGTGTCGAGATTTTTCCGTTCGCGCTACGCTTATTTCCAGTGGCGTTCCGCAACGGGATGCACTCGCGGAATGTATGTATATACACGATACGTTTATTATTATCATTAAAATCATCATCATCACAGTACACGGTACACACATAATATTATAATGCACATACGCGGGGCCCCGTCCGAACCGTTTTAATTCGAGCAGCGGCCGTTAAGTTTGTACGAGAACCGAGCGTCTCGGCTCGAATCCCCTCAACATAATAATACTTAGGTACTTAGATGCTCTTATTATTTTGATATTTTAAGACACGACTGGTCGCCACTGTCGCGCACAGGGGGTAACCGTTACGCGCGCGTTCCCCGAAATCAACACGGCGCGAAAACAAGGCTATCGGCGGCGCCGCGTCGTATAATAAACGGGGTCACCCGTGTGTCGAAAATGCGCGCGGATTCCTATACGTCATGTAAATTAATGAACGCGCGTTGTTGCTGTTATTGTGAGCGCGCTTGTGTGAGTGTGTTACGGATCCTGCTTGCCGGGTGAGTATATAGGTATCACCGGCTATCTAATTTATATACCTGTAGTATACGTATAATGTGATGATATGAATAGACGACTAATTCGAACACCGTAACCCGGTAACT